GACTTAGGCCCTGTTTACATGGGAAGAGGGTGCCCCTAGGGGATAGGGTTACCCTACTTGGTAGGGTTGAAGATACCGAGCGTTTACATGGTAATTTGAAACCCTAGGGGCGAGGGCTGACACTATAGCCAGGTCACCCAGCAAGGAAAACAACCAAAATGACGGCGGGAGATAAAGTTTTGGCGGTTAATTCGATTCTTACGGCACTCGCTTCTTTAGTTCCTTCTTTTCAACTTTGTGCTTTGTTGTTGATATCTCTAATGGCTGAAAGACAGCGTTTACAACTGGCTAGCCAGCACATTTCAGCCCAATATAACATTTCACCTGTTTTGTAGCTAACACTAGCTGTGGATGCTGTTCCACTGTCCGCCATTTTGTTTCGCTGAGATGCCTGCGCTGTGTGTCAGCGGTATGACTGGACATAGCTCTACCCCTAGGGATAGCCCTAGGTTTTGCGTTTACATGGGCTAATGGCGGCAAAACTCGTCCCTACACAGTAGGGTCACCCTACCTTTCAGGTAGGGTAACCCTACCCCTAGGGTCATCCTACCTCACATGTAAACACGCAGTATAATTACAATAGAGAAGGGTCATGTAAACAGGCCCTTAGAAAGTTAGCAAATCGGCTTCGTTATCACTGCACTCCGATTCAACGGCTGTGTGTACTGTTTTCCCGCCAAAATCCCGTAGTCGCTTACGGCAAACATTCGCAAGATGATCCTTCTTCTGGCGGTAGTCACACGTTTTTCCGAAAGCAGGACAAGAGCCCTACGAGTGAGAAGAACCACAAAACGTGCGCTTTCCTTTTTGTGAGCCCGAACATGGTCTTGAGCGACGCGAAGGGTTCTTCTTCAATCTGTTGCCGCCGCCTGCTCGAATTTCATTCACGGTCGGATTTGTATTGTTTTACTCCATAGGACCCATCGGTTTAATCTGTTCTTTCGAAGCCTCGGACGATCTTGCCATAGAAATCGCTTTTTAAAGTGTAAGCTTCTCGTCTCTCAGTAATCGTTCCTTCACTTGTAGATCTCGTATACTAAACACGAACTTGTCTCGCAACATGTCATCAACTGGCGACGGGTACTCGCAAGATTTAACTTTGTTTTTCAAGCGTGTGACAAACTGATCCACAGTTTCGGAATCTTTCTGTGTTATCTGCCAAAACTGATACCTCTCGAACACTACGTTCTTCCTGGGGTTACAGTACTGCTCAAACTGCTCAAGGACTTTGTCCAGCTTGTTCTCGTCGCCTTCGGCAAACTGAAATGTGTTGAAGACCTCAATGGCGTCTTCTCCTACAAAGTTTAGCAATATAGCAATCTTGACCGCATCGGCTTTATTTCCTTTTCCCAAAGCAGTTAAGTAGATATCAAACTGCTGCTTAAATCGCCGCCAATTTTCTGATGTGTTTCCGTCGACTCAAAGCGCTAGGCTTGTGAAAACTATCCATAGTTTACTCCTGACACCATGTCAAAAGATACGAGTCCAAAAGCCAAACAAAAACCACGTGCGAGCCGTTATGTAATAATATCATAGAGCATGCGTGTCACGCATGACGTCCCAACGTGAGAATAGAGACCATACGCAAGGATGACGTCGCCTGGGAGGACGTCGTCGAAATTCCTGTTTAGCAGTCGACGTCCTCGTTGGGTCTCGTCACATTGGTCATACTTACGCAAGCGGGCGCGCTCGCGTCGCACAAAGTTGTTTTGTCGGGAATTTACGAATATGTTATCTGCGTGAAAATTGTTAAAAAGCTCTCGGAATTTTATTCGAATATGCCAAACTTACGCGATGTGAGGCACTGTCTCCTTTTTGACTTTGAGGGAAACTTGCTAAACGATGAAGAATTTATTCTTCTGTACGATTTAAATACTTCTAAGAACCCTGATTGGCAGTACTACCCGTTCGATTTAGATGAGCTATGTGATGACGAGTGTAAAGCTGAATTTCGCTTCTTAAAGAGCGACATTTATGTCCTGAAAGATGTGCTACAAGTACCCGATGAGGTTGTTTGTTATAAAAGACTAGTTGTCGATGGAATTGAGGCCTTGTGTGTTCTTTTAAAGCGATTTGCATATCCTATTCGCTACAGCGATATGTGCCCTCGATTTGCTAGACCTGTACCACAGTTCAGCATTATAACAACTACAATGATGGACATCATTTACAGCCAACACAGTCACCGCTTGAGAAGCTTCCATCAAGCTTGGCTTTCCCCTGCAAATCTTGAACCTTTGCCGATTTCGTCCACGAGGCTGGAGCTCCCTACACAAACTGTTGGGGATTTGTGGACGGGACAGTCAGACCAGTTTGTAGACCTGGAACTTTACAGAGGACTTTATACAATGGACGTAAACGAGTTCATGCTATTAAGTTCCAATCAGTGGTTGCCCCCAATGGACTGATTGCTAACTTGTACGGTCTTGTTGAAGGGCGACGCCATGATAGTGGTATGCTAGCTGATTCAGGCCTGTTACCACAGTTACAGCTTCGCTGTCGCTCACCTCTTGGAAATCCTTTATGCATTTCTGGTGACTTGGGATATCCCTTGCGTCCACAGCTACAAACACCATTCAGAGGCTTACATCTAACTGCACTCCAACAGCAGTTCAATACATCCAAGAGCACTGTTAGATCAAGTGTTGAATGGGTTTTTGGGGACATAATCAACTATTTCAGCTTCCTTGACTTCAAGAAAAACTTGAAGATAGGTCTAAGTGCAGTGGGGAAAATGTATATTGTTTGTACACTGTTAACTAATGCTAGAACCTGTTTGTATCCCACATCGACCAGCAGCTTTTTCAATTTAGGACCACCTTCATTACAGGAGTACTTTTCTTAAGTGAATTTACCATCAAGTTGGGCACCAAGGCCTCAAGATTTGGAGTTAAGCCACAAGAGTAACATCATGGTGATTGTGTAGTTTATCCCTATGGACACTATAATTTCAGCAATTGTTGTTCTGTCTTACCATGTTTTTGTTTTGCTATGATGAAAACAAAGTAGCAACTGAATGAGATAATTGTAAGATAGAATGAAAGAGGCTTTAAATTTTACAAGGTGATATGGCACAAGCACAGAACTTTTGTAACTTTGGTGCTGTTCAAATCTATAAGAAATGAAAAAGGTGAATTTTCCCAATAGTTTTGTAATAGTTGCATTAAGATGGTTGGCTTTGTACACTGCAAGAAATTTTAAATCCATATGATACTTAACTGATGGAATTACTTAAGTTGAGCTTCAAAAATCCGTGTCATAAAGGTTTAAAAATCTCAGAAGTGCTAATTGGATGATGTAAAAGCTTTACTTTATGGGCCCATTTGTAACTCCCATTACGGGCCTATGTTCACGTAAACATCCGGGCAATCTCCCATGTGCTTTTGAGAGGAAAAATCGTCACGTTCATTTTCAAGAATGTTTGGTTGCTGTTTTATTGTCATTGTTTGAAAACCCTAAGCTCGAACAGTCGGTGAGTTTTCATTTCAGTTGTTAATGTTGTAATTTCGTTTGTTTTAAGCGTGTTTTCTGTTTGCAGAAAACCTCTCCTTTACTGGCGAGTCGAGTTTTCGACTCGGGCAAATGTTTCTGTGAAATAAACAACAGTTTTCGACTTCTACGAATTGGTCGTGGAGTTTAGAGGTTAACTTGTTCCATAAGAGGATTTGGAAGTGGTGGAGGCATCGTAATTTTGTTTCGGGTATATTGTTCGGTTGGAACACTTCGAATTTGGAATTATGGAAGATGACCTTGAGCTACATTTGAATTCTTCGCATCAACAAGCGAGTGATCGTACACACATGACCGCGTTGGGCGGTTCG